GCCCTCTTTGTTTATTTACTTTGTACAAAACTGCTGAAATAACTTCTGTTAATCAGTTGGTCAGCTAAACTGTAAACTGTTTAGTGTGTCAGCCAGTCAACTAGTCGGGAAAATATCAATCATTTAATGGCATATTCGAAATGTGTTTCTACCTTATATTTCTCTAATGTCTCAGTAATATTTATCTTATTTAGAGGTGTATATACTTAGTTTGAAGATGTCAAACTAAGATATTGTCTAAGTTTCTGATCTTTCTATAGAATAAGTAGTATTCACAATATTAAAAGGTGGGAATTTAGATATTCAATGGGGAACTAATGCAGCAGTTGCAGTGAGAGAAATCATCTCAGATGTACAGAATAAAATGCTGGAGGCAAAGATCATGTACGTACAGACTGTGTACAAACCAATCAGGACATATGACTAACTGGGGCTTGTGAGGTGAAAATACTTGAACAAATTTATGGGCATAAATTTGGAGACATTTCAAAAGGGAAAGCTGCTTTTACAAATGTGATAGATCGTGCCCTCTGCAGCCACAAGAGGGCAGCAAATTACTACCTGTAGCAACACATACACACACTCACATCTTGATTCCCATTATCATCTTAAATATTAAACCAACAGCTCTGAACAGGTTAAACTCAATGTTTGCACGTGGCATTCTTTACATATTGATCGCTCTGAGTCCAAAGCAAACAGAGGTTTGTCTTGTTTGATGGAGGATCAACACATCACGCTGTCTCCATTATGTCTTCATTATGAGAGACTTACAGTACAGTACAGTTCACAATGAAGAGTGTGTTTGCACATGGTGGAGGTTTAATTTGAGTGCCTGTGTGAATGAATGAGCTGTAACCGCAGCTGAACTTTCGTGGCATTTAAATAGCAGGTCAAGGTTACAGCAGACTAAAGACACAGTTTATGTTTCTGTACAACATGTTCTTACCTCAGGACACCTTTAGGAACACTGTAGGAATGTCTTCATCACATCTTACAGGAAAATTTACCTGAAAAATCCACTCACTTGGGTACTGTGATCTTCAGTTTCTCTGTCGCTCTTGTCTTTGGCCAGCGGACATATCCATCCTTTCTCTCTTACTTTCCCTCTGTTTTTTCACAGCACATGCCAAACACATCATTTATAGTTGGCAGAAAGAGCTGGGGTGTGGGAGAAATAAATGAAATTCCCATGAAAAGACCAAAACCAACTCAAACAATACCAAACAATCTGCGGTTCTTCAGTCCAATGTCTCTTATTTCCCTGTGCCACTGAGCTCTACTGTTGTCCAAAATGAACTATAAACATACAGTAGTTTATTTAGACTGGGGCAGACCAAGTCCTCAGTTTTCCGTAATGATCAAATTCAGCAGCTGTCCGACTTATGATGGGGTATGTTGAAATTGACATGAGTAATCAGTGAAAGCAGGTCACACATTAAAACACACTCCAAAGAAAGTAAACACAAAGAAAATGTGATGAAAGACACTGGACACCGCACAAGACAGGAGCTCTTTCCTTGAAATGAAGACGTCCGAGTCCGATTCCTAATATGAGGTAAATAGTGAACGTTATTATTGGCAGCTCTACTTCTGGATTATCTGCTGTGCTTTCATTGCTGTGTTTTATTTGGTTACTCATGTCTGTGTTTGTGTCTCTCCCTCTTTCACAGCTCAGCCAGTATCAGCAGATGGTTGTTCGCCATGAATCTTGATGTTTCTGCTCATTGAAAGGAAATTTTTCTAGCCACAGCTGAAAAGAGGCTCAGAGTGGATTCATGTTTGATTAGATGGAAAACAAATAGGATAGATTGGGGCTCGCGCTTCGTGTAGGTGTCCATAGAATTTGTCAGACTTTTCGTTTTTCTTTTATGCCAAAGAGATAAAAATCAATGTATGTTTTTGTGACTTTATTTGGAATAACAGCTACTTTGTACATCACCAGACTCTATAGATTTTAAAGTAGGTGTTTGTCTGAAGTTACAATGAAGGGCCAACAAACAGACATTGACTTTTGCCTTACTTTTATAAGTTTGTAAGGCGTTTTTGGGTCATTTAAGTGTCACATAAATCTAATTTTTGATGATAATAATAATCATTATTATAATTTATAATTGTATTTTTTTTTTGCTGTGTTGCGGTTGTGACTCTATGACTTTCCAGTCATTTGCACTTGGGTGTGGTTTCCCACTATTTACCTGTTAACTTGTGAAGGCAGGATATCGATATTTTGCTGCGTTTTTCCATTGCCCGCTACAGTCACTGAGGGGCTAAACAAACGTGCAATCGTCACTTGTTAGATAAATAAAAGACAATTTTATTACATCCTGAAAGGTGACTGTTTTGTAGACACAAGGTTTTTGCCTGAGAGCGATGATATAACACTATGATGTACTGCTTTCTTTGACATGTGCATGATATAAAATGTACTTTAAAATGCTTCCTTGTCAGGTGCATTATGTAAAATGAACTTTATACTGCTTCTTTGACATGTTCATCGTATAAAATATACCTTAAATTGCTTCTTTGACATGTTCATTATGTAAAATGAACTTAATACTGCTTCTATGATATGTTCATCGTATAAAATACACCTTAAACTGCTTCTTTGGTGCCAGCTTGGCTTGACATTTAAACAATGTTGTCTGCATACAGAGGCTACAATCGTCAAAGTGGCAGCCCTCTGCAGAAATTAATACCCCACTTTTTCTTTCCAGTTTCCCACTTTATCCACAGTTCTTTATCCTAGTTCTCACACTTGTAAAATCGAGATCTGGACTTGAAACGACATCCTGTAGCAACAAGCTCATTTAATCCTTTAGCTGCGTTCTCCCATTGCCCGCTACAGTCGCTGAAGGGCTAAACGAAGCATGCAATCGTCACTTGTTAGATGTATGAAAGACAATTTTTTTACATCATGAAAGGTGACTGTTTTGTAGACACAAGGTTTTGTGCCTGAGAGCGGTGTTACAACACTATGATATACTGCTTCTTTGACATGTGCATCGTATGAAATTTACCTTACACTGCATGTTCATCGTGTAAAACATACCTTAAACTGCTTCTTTGACATGTTCATCGTATGAAATTTACCTTAAACTGCTTCTTTGAGATGTGCATTATGTAAAATGAACTTTATACTGCTTATTTGACATGTTCATCGTATAAAATACACCTTAAACTGCTTCTTTGTTGCCAGCTTGGCTTGACATTTAAACTATGTTGTCTGCATACAGGGGCTGTAATCGTCGAAGTGGCAGCCCTCTGCAGAAATTCATACCCCACTCTCTCTTTCCAGTTTCCCACTTTATCCACACTCCTAGTTCTCAAACTTGTAAAATCAGGATCTGGACTTGAAACGACATCCTGTAGCAACAAGCTTACGTAATCCTTTCTTGCGTTTTCCATTGCCCGCTACAGTCACTGAGGGGCTACACGAAGCATGCAATTGTCACTTGTTAGATAAATAAAAGACAATTTTTTTACATCCTGAAAGGTGACTGTTTTGTAGACACAAGGTTTTGTGCCTGAGAGTGGTGTTATAACACTGATATACTGCTTTCTTTGACATGTGCATGATATAAAATGTACTTTAAAATGCTTCTTTGACATGCGCATTATGTAAAATGAACTTTATACTGCTTCTTTGACATGTTCATCATATGAAATTTACCTTAAACTGCTTCCTTGAGATGTGCATTACATAAAATGTACTTAAAAATGCTTCTTTGACATGTTCATCGTATAAAATACACCTTAAACTGCTTCTTTGACATGTGCATTATGTAAACTGTACCTTAAACTGCTTCCTTGATATGTGCATTACATAAAATGTACTTAAAAATGCTTCTTTGACATGTTCATCGTATAAAATATACCTTAAATTGCTTCTTTGACATGTTCATTATGTAAATTGTACTTTAAAATGCTTCTTTGACATGTTCATTATGTAAATTGTACTTTAAAATGCTTCTTTGACATGTGCATTATGTAAAATGAGCTTTATACTGCTTCTTTGACATGTTCATCGTATAAAATATACCTTAAACTACTTCTATGACATGTTCATTATGTAAAATGTACTATAAAATATATTTAGTGTTAATAAACGTGCAGGATTTTTTCTCGTTTACAGCCCACTTAAAGTCATACCTCATATCTGTCATCTTAAAACCTCATAGGAGTTGTTGTTCGATGCCGCTCTTCACCTTACTGAAAACAGACCCAGAAAATAAACCTGCTTCACGTCATTTCCCTCAACAAGATATTATTAGAGAAAAAGAGGTAAACTCTCATCAGATACACTCAGCTCTGTATATCATCTGCACAGAGTTCATCTTGTAAATGTCACAGAAGTTCACCTTGTTTGGGTGTCGAGCTCTGGCAACCGGACAAACATAGGGCCGCGATCATCAACACAAGCGTCTGGCTTCAGTTCGCAGGTGACGTGATGTTTTCAGCAGTGAGGAGAAGAAACAGGGAAATTGGCTGTTAGTGCTTCTGAAAGCCAAATGAAATATTATTCAGATGAAATGAAGTGCTGAGTAAATCAAACTGTAGCTCTGAGTTTGAAAAGGAAGGTAATAGTAAATCCTGTTTTTGTTATTAGTGTAATGAGGCTTATTTTGACGGAAAACAGGGACAGAATTCATCACAGCCTTTTGGAAATGTTCCTTTTGTTTCAGAGGTTGTGAAAAATAAACGGATATAAACACATTTTGCTCCTTCAACACCTTTATTTCCTTCTATTTTGCTCCTGTTTATTTATATAGTTGCACTTTTACTGATGCCAAATTAATGTGTGAATTAAAACAGAATTTTGATCCTGAATAACCTGTTACGGCTTCTCCATCTAACATGCTAATATTTATTGTAAATGTACGCAAACAGTGAAGTCAGCATTAGACTGTTTGTGAATCATTTCTCCATATAAGGTCCTCTGAGGGGTCACTGTCACACTTTCCCCCACTGGGTCACTTTCACTTCAGTCGCTCTGACATGTGGCACGTGTCGCCTCCCCTCAGAGTCCCCATGTCTTTATATGGAGGATTCAGGACATCAAAGAGCAGAGCACAGACACACAGACACACAGAGGGGGGAATGAAGATGAAGTGTAAAATAGGGATGAAATGGAGATTCAAAGTGACGAGAAACAGGAGATGAGGAGAAAACAGGAGAGGAGAAGAGAGGAAACAGGGTCAGTGAGGGTAAAAGAAGGTAACAGGTTGAATATCAAACAATGAAAACAAAAACAAATTTACAGCTACCTGACCAACACATGATTTGTCATCTTTGTCGTGTTTTCTGGGGTAAAGCTCGATGTGCAGTCACGTGCACAGAATTAGGCCAATATCTAAGACTGTACTTATACACAGAGGAGTAAATTGCAACATCATGGTATGTTAGACTGATTACGAGAAATCGAGTTGTTTACACATTTTAGAAGTCCTATTCTCTGGATTCTTTATAATGGCCAGCAGGGGGTGACTTCACCGTCATTAAAAAGTCTGGTGGTATAGAAGTTCGGGGGATAATGACCCTACACTGTAAACACTCAAATCTCGGCATGTCTTTTTAATATAATTACTAAAAAAATTAATTGAAGCTACATTTACCCCAGTCCAGAAAAAAATCTTTTTAAAGATATTACCCAAGATCTGAATTGCTTGAACTAAGTTTGAAAATATCTGCTGACAAACTTACCTGCCTAGTCCTTAAAATAAGATATTCTTTCTTTTAAGAATTTTAACTCTGAAGAAAAACTGAACCGTAAAATTTCATTCCTCACTGTAGCAGAGTCACCAATAATTCAGCAATTCACTGCACAGAATAAAAGTTTGAAAGGAACTTTTAAGATTGTATGAGAGGATAGTGCTCTGTAAACATGATGTTGTTAACTCAAAGGAAGGGTGGAGGTCTGTGCGGGACCAGTTTGCTAGAGCACCCTTGAGTGGCTGCATTATTTTAGTCCATCGAATTGTAAACAGCTGATGGAAGTTTGTAGGTAGAGACAGTAACATTGTTTAAAACTTAAATTTCTATTTTCATACCAACAGGCTGCATAACTGAGGAGTCGCTCCTCTCCAGCTCCCACTTCTACTGCTCATTTCTAAATACAGTCTAATGTTTTTTCTCATGTGTCCGTCATAATCTCATGGTTATTTCCTTTCCTTTCCCACAAAATTTCCTCACTTTTGTTGGCTTACAACTTATCCAAGTGTCTTACTGCTTGTATCTCCAGCCACGTGACCTCCCAGCCTTGTTTTTCTGCAGCCTTCGAGACAGATGGGGGCTGAAAAGGATTTTCCGTAAACACTGAGGTGTGTAAATTTGCAAAATAACATGTATCAAAAGTGACATTGCAGCTGCTGATAAATGCGGTTTTAAGTTTCATTCTTGACTTTCAAAAACATGTACAGTGTTGATGTTTCCACGGTCGCCTTCTTGTCATGTTCTCACCCTCCTCTCATCCTCCGTCCTGAGCTCTGACCTATTTTGGTATGAGGATGATAACATCGTCTTTCCTGGTAATCTTCATACAGATAGAAAAACAAAGAGAGGGGGAGAGGAGGACCTTCTTCTTATCCAGATTTAAAAGTCAGCACATTGTTTGAACTCTGGTGCTCTGGGAGGGGGTGTCTGTGTGTCTGTCCACAGACTGGGGGCTGTATACCACTCTGATAAAACACCTGGAGCAATATCTCTGACATGACATCACCTCAAAGTAAGAGAGGATGTTTTAAAGCAACTAGATTTTCAGTTTCCATACAATGTGAATTCTGAGTATTTAGAGGCCACCCACCTACACTGCTTTTAAAACTCTTTCTTTAAAATCTCTTTGTAAGTCCTTTTTGGTTAGGTCATTGTATTTGTTGATACCGATAATGTTCTGTTTATCAATGAGCTCAGAGATACTGAAGTCCCTGCATTCTGCATGTAAACAGAGCGCCTGTAAACAGTGTTCAAAGTTAATATTACACTCCGGTAAACATAAAGACAACGTGGATATGAGCTCAGGCTGCCTGTAAACTCCATTAGAGCAGACGTAAACTGTTTGGAGTTGTCTAATAATGATATCATGCAGTAAATATTTGAAAAAGAAGGAGGGATTGACAAAACTGGGATGTCTTTCTCTCTGGTTTGGTTTATGTTGCCCTCGGCGACTCAGACACAGACAGATACACTTAAGAGTCTGATTTTCATCCCAAACTTTCGTTCAAAAACAGACAGGTAGAGGTCAAAAGAGTTCGTTTGGCTCTAGAGAGAAGGGTGAAACTGTAGCGTGCGTGTAAAATTCTGATAGAAGAGAGCCAGAATAAAAGGCCCCACCGCAGACTGCAGGGGTGTAGGCCTACTGTGAGATTACCTTGAGTGTGAGCCAAGTAGGCCAGAAGACTTGTATTATCAGATTTCTTTACTGTGGCTTAAATGATGTTGAAACTATATTTTGAAAATTGATATTAAAACATCTTCGTCTGACTCAAACAAATTTAAGCAGATCCATCTTGAGGACCACGTGAGGATTAACCAAACAGTGAAATGAAATATCGTGTTGAGTTGTGGAGTATTTCTGAACAAATTAGCACAGCGAGAACACTGTATGTGTAGAAAACATGGACAACGTGTCCTCTGGCTGACGTACATCATTCCTTCATGTTTAAATCCAAGCTGGAATACAACAAATTTTAGCTGGAAAAAATTGAAAACCGCAAAGGCCCAATCTGTGATATGAAAATTCGCTCTGATGCCCGATCAAACCTGTCACTCAAACTTGGAAAAAATCCTTTCCGGCTCTTTCAAAAGGCTCTTAAAGTGCACTTCTGGAAAGAAATTAGGCAAAGCTAAGAAGATGTTTGGTGGCTAGTGCTGTTGATGAAGTTAGGTGCTGTTCTGAGCATTATTTGTGGCTATAGAGCGGTGTTTTGGTTGAGGTTTGTTTATGGCTCCTCAGACCGCTGTGTATTGCTATCATGTGGTCGTTACTAAAGTTGGTATAACTAGAGAAGCAATCGGTCGACAACATTCATCTCTCAAGGGGGGGTCTAACTCGGTGTTACGGTGTGTTTGACTCTAAATTAATTTTACGCCAGAATATCCCTTTAACTGACAACGTGGTTCTCTCTTTGTCCGCCTCCACCAACATGTTCAGACTGTACCCTTTGACCCTTTGTGCTGCCTCCTCACACAGGACGACCTTTTTCCAACCCTGCAGGACTCCAGGCTTTGATGATGTTAACAAGGATGCTTTTGAACTTGACAGCTCTTTCACTCTGTGTCCCTTTCCATCTGGTTTTGTCTATTTTTCTCCTTCTTCTCCTCTTGTTTTGCTTTGAGCTGGTTTCACATCGTCCATAATTTGTCACTGAGCGTCCCTCAGTCCTAATGATAATCCTCCCAAGAGACAACAACTGGAATTGTTTTCCTTCTTTCTGTATCACAACATGCTGAGTATGTAATTTTTCCTTGTCTCATCTTGTTGCATTTTCCCCATGCTTGCAGCCGAGTATCCAATTTTATGTGATCAGGAAACAGCAGGAGGTGATACAGACAACATGTGCTTCTATCGGATCCAGAGGGGCAGATGTGAAACTGGAAGGGATACCATCATGGGGCCTCATTCGGGCCCTTATAGCAACACGTGAGCAGGTCAAAAGCACAGGGCTGCTGGGAGATCGATCAGCTACTTTCTAGCTCTAGGCCAAGCTGATTCACGTCATAGGAATGGACCTTGTCTTTGAAAATGACCTTTGATATTGATCATTTCAAGCATGTCCGAGCTGATCCTGCCAGATAATGTTTTGGCTAAATTCTCTTGGAAATATCTGCAATCAGTCACTAGCCCTGAAAACTGTCCCTAGCCCTGAGATCTGGGAATACAACTAAGTAATCTTCTCTGTTTGTCTTCTCAGAAGATTTTTACCAGCTGTCTCTGTGGAATCGTCACTTTGTCGCCTGGGTGGATGAATTGTTGGTGAAAACGAGCACTCCAAAAATGATGCAAGCTGCAAAAATGCCACATTTGAGTCTTACATATGATTTAACAAACTAACAGCTGAGGTCATACTGTCTACTTATACAGTTCATTCTCTTATACAGCCTGTTCTGGAAACAAATCCATTAAATATCAAACTTTTTGCAATGCAGTTCAAGCCAAATAAATGTGAGTAAAGAGAAAATGTCAGGTGGATTTTGTAAATCCCACATGCTCTATATTTTATCTCTCCCATCGCTTCCAAACCTGACCCACAGTCCCTATGTTGGGTGAGCACTTGTCTCATTTTGTCAGACGAGGGGAGGAAGTTGTGTGAGGAATGTTGGCTTTGTCTGACCAAACAGGGAGCGCTGCGGCCAGGGAAGTGGGCGGCTCGGTTTCTGGATGACCTCTCTACATGCATGTTTCTCCCACTTGCTTTCCGACTGGTGCAGATTCAGGGAGCTCAAGTCAGAAGTTTATTGCAAATGATGCCAAGCCTGTCAAACAGAATTATTCTCTAACACCTGCAGAGATTGTTTGTTTACATGACTTTAAGTTTTATGTCAGTTTTCCAGATTATATGGTATGAAACTAAACAAGGCCTCATTCCTGCTGCCTTCATTAAGACTACGAGCTATGTAAACCCAAGTTAACAAAAAACTGTGCTAACCTATTTTGTAAAAGACTGAATTTAAGGGTTATTTTAAAGCTCAGATTTTTGGCAGGGTGTTGTGTTTGAATCACATAAAGGGTCTATACCAGAGAAGCAAGAGGCCTTTAATAGAACTGTATAAAAGTGATGTTCCTGTGAGATGGTTCAAGGTTAAAAAGTTCCTGTTGTCATTATTGTACATTATCTCGTTGCGGAGTAATTCAGAGTGCAGGGTTAAAAGTTGTTAGAGTGTGAAATTGGATGGTGTAGTTGTTTCAGTTGTTTATTAGGTTCTGGGAGACTATAATGAGTATTTGGATCTGGATGGCATGTGCTATTTTATTTGTTCATGTGGAAAACAAACACGGGCTTGTTGATGCCTCTCTGACTGGATGAAAGAGGAATGAGATTATGTTTATCAAGGGTGAGCAAAGTGAGAGCACGTGTCAATGAGAAGAACAGAGAGGAAGCTGGAAAAGACAACAAGCTTACAGAAGGGATAAAAATTGTCTATAGACAGACAACCTCTGAGTCAACAGGCTTGCTCTAGTTTATGGCGTCTTCTATGCTTTTACATTTTTATCTGTGTTGGTTGCATTGAACCCCAAACACTGGAAAAATGTTAATGGAGTGATGTGAGATTTTGCCCCCTCCATATTGTTTGAAATTTGGTGACAGAAAAGCATACCAGCACTTGGTTAAAAAGACTCTTGATCCTGAAGTCAGTCCAATTTTAAAGGTGTTGTTTGTACTGGTTCATGAGAGAAAATGCTAATTGTTTTTGTTATTTTTTTAGTTTTAAAGAACTAGAAAACTACACCTATATGCCTATCAACCAAGTCACCAACTTCGAACCAACCAGACCTACCACACAACCAATTAGCCAACCAAGCAATTTAAATCCTAACTACCAACTACCAACTCAATCATGAGCCATTGCAACCATGCCCAAGCCCATGCAAGCCCATTGTTTCAATCTTGTATTGATGGCTTTGGAAACGTGACCAAAATACAGACAAGCTGAGAAATGCAAACGTAAAGTACCTTCTCACATTACTTTTCCCACAGTACACAAACTTACAGCTCTAACTAATGGCTCTTTCCATCTTGTTGAAAGGTTGTAAATGGCGTTGCCATAACAAGGCCTACAACACCACACTCTTCCAACTGGCCTTGTACCATTAGGAGGGAAAAAAATCCCTTCGAGATATTTGGTTCTTGGGTGGTTCCTCATAAGGGAATCCCCAGAACTGTTTGTTTAAAAATGCTATTGTTCCAGGAACCTTTGAATGACAGAGACAAATAGAGTACTGAAAACTCTTTTTGATTCATGTCCCTATTTTACTAATAGAAACGTTCTTGATTCCTTTTACTTACCAGACTCAGTATTGAATCTTTTCACTGAATAATTTCCTAGAAGTCTCATGTCTGCTGCCTCTGATATCAAACAGGATGTGTGTAAAGCAGATAGGACTCGGGGTTAACAAGACAAACAGAAAGGGAGAGTAATAGGCACGCTGACAATCTAAATTGCATCCCAGCAAATAGGCTGGTGAGTGACAGCTGGTGAACTCTGTCTCCCCTGACACCCGCTGGGCTGGGAGCCAATGGCAAAGCAGAAAGTGGGTCAGTGTGGTAGATTAAACTCTCACCAGGGATGGAGACATGCCTGAATATTATTTTTTCTTCTGTTATTGTTCAGTTTGTCAGATATGAACAGAGCGGGAACCAAAGCCTCTCAGGGCCACTTACAATGATTATATTAATCAGATTTGAGGGTATTTGTGGATAAAATCCCTCTGAGGGATTTATTGAGCTGATGAAAACTGAAAATTGTTTCTCTCTGGTAGCTGCTTAGCATGTTATCTGATTATGTGGGAACTGTTGTTTAAACACAATTAAATCCTGCCCACAGCACAGCAGGGTCACTGCTTTACACTAATATGATGGTACGAATTCTGATACAGATATTCCAACTTTCCTTTTTCTCTCTATGTTACTATAGTAGTTGTAGTGGTAGAAGAAGTAGCTGTAGTAGTAGTTTTTATTTGGTAAGTATTGCTGGCCCAGTGTAGTTTGGAATAAACAACTGGTTTACAGGAAGGGGCTGGAGTTGTGCAGATTGCCACAAACAGAAGGAAGACAAAGAAGCAGGAACATTACCTAGCTAGCAATAGCAACCGTCTGGAAACTGGTCTGACACTTAAAAACTCAAAGATTTATGAATCCAATGACAACGTAAGAGTGTGTGCCTCTCCAGAGTGATGATGCATTTGATTTCTATACTTACCATCCTTTCTTTTTGCCATTTTCATCCAGCTATTAACTTGTGATTTACTGGTAGCAGCATGTACTTCATTTCAAAATAAAAGCCTGTTCTACCACATTGTAAACAAAGCACTCTAAATTCAAGATAGTAAATAATTTCAAAATGAAAGCATCACTAACAATCAATTTTTAAAGCAGTCACCTCTCTAAAGAAGTTTTTGTCACAGGGTTTATGAGGCCGATAAAACACAACTTTGAACTTTGATGGCACGTGTTTATTAGTGAAGTTTATGAAGTAACTTTTATCTCTACCCTTGTCTTGCCTTTGATGAATTGTAACTTAGATTATGATTACCCTTATTTTGTCTCAAAGTTTTCCACTAATATTGTCATAATATTGTTACCATGAATATATTTATTTTATTTTGTAACTAATTACAACTTGATATGTATGTAGCTTTGGAAAATAGTGTCTATTGAATGAAATTGTGACAGTCTAGTTCAGGGATTCAGTTAACAAAATAAAAATAATGACTAAGGCTGAGCTTGTTATGCCCACATTTATGCATAGCATATACTAACAGGCAACCTTTTTACTGCTAGTGTGAGTCTGTGTGATTGTATAGAAGGGTTCAAATGTATTAGTTTAAGTGCAGATTGATACCTTGTGTAACCTCATGTACCTTGTAAGAAAGTACATCTGGTCCTCTTACAGGAGGTAGTGTGGCTGATGGGAAAGGCTCTCTTCATCTCATTCCTTGATTCTTGCATCATGCTACTGGCAGGTACGCCTGCATATGACATCCGACCTCTGCAGCTGGTCCAGACCTTGACCTCTTGACAGTGCATTACATAGTGGTGGTGCCCAGTGAGCTACATTACGTGTCTACACTGTGGAAACAAAGGAAAGCCAATTAGCACCCTTTTGTGGTGGATACACAAAATCTATAGAAACTAGGAGAGCCAATGGAGTGGCATGGTCTGCATCGGGTGGAAGTTGGGGCTATGACCATCTGAATTATACAAGACCTGATGACAAAGTGGACTTATTTACTCTAGGGAGGTATGTTAAGTTTTTCATGATGTTTACAGGAACAAGTTTTCTGACACTTCCTAAGACCCCTCGGGCAGGAACATCCTCACATGAACCAGCTGCTGTTCTCAGCCTGTTGGTTCATGTGAGGATGATCTTGAGCCCACCTGAGGGGTCTGCTGAACTCACATCTTTGACCTTAAGTGCAATGCTGTGGCATGAGAAAGAAGTATACCTTTGTTTGCACTTTAAAGGATTACTGTGACTACCTTCATCATTTTTGATCTCTTATTTATCACCACTAACTACACTTAATTTTACCTATTCTACAGTTAAGCTTTCATCCATTCTTATGTATGAGCGCATGTACAAATTTTAAGGGCCTGTGTCTATTTACATGGTTGATTTTTTTGGTTGATATAGCAGCTGATCTGCTTCCATTAACAGTGATAGGTAAGTTTGCTTTAACATGTTTTGTGTACAGCGATTGATAAATAATGTTTACAGCATTAGAAACACTCATTAAAGCCCAGATGTCATTGTTGGTCCTTTTCTCCATTATTTTAACAAATAAAGGAAACGGACATGAAAAAGGTTAGGAGCTTGGCCCAAATCCTGGGCTAGTAATCGACAGAACTAACATTGTTTAAAAAAGTTGTCATTAAAAAAAGTTTTATTCTTGTGTTTGGTTCTTAACTTTAAAAGTCACTCAACAGAGTGGCAACATTTAAATTTGCCAAATTAAATTCCTTAAGGATTCAAAATGAAGATGTTTGACCAAAGACAATGTTTTAGGTTCAGATAAAAAAAACATGTTCTACATTATGTGGTTGCTTACCACATTATTATCAACATGAACAGTTGATTTTAATAGTCCTGTCTCTTATAAGAAAAATGACCAGACATGGTTCATGATTTCAGGGTGGCCATTGGTCAATTGTTTGGTTGTGACATACCTTTCTCCATATTTTCTGAACAAAGCAGTAACCCCCAGTGTTGAATGAAAGAAGCCAATGCAGAAGTGCAAGCAGCTGCAGTTCCTCAAGTACTGTACTTCATGTGTGTTACCAAAACCGCAAACAGTTTCACATTGTTAACCACTGTAAGGTGGTCTTTCTTTTTTCTCTCAGTGTACTTTGCAGTCGACGTAGTTTCCCCAGAGCAAGCATGTAATTTCTGTCATTATGGGATTCAGCATAAAAAGGTTTGTTCATGCGTTGTTTGGGACTGAGTTGACTTATGAGCAAATCAGCAAAGACAAAACAAACATCTATAAATCCATGAAGACCATTTCCCAAAAACTCAAAGTTATCCACCAAAAAGGTTGTAAAAGGCAGAGTAATAGACTCAGTGCAGAACAGCCACAAAGCCGAACTGTTATGTAACCATGATGTCACCTACAATGCTGACTACATTAGCCATCTGGGTGACCTGAAGGTCTTGGCCGAGGTGTTCTCATGTGCTTGCTTTCTTAATTTAACAAAACACTGTTTTGCAGAATCGGACCAGTGTGCCGGGTTACATCACTAATTATGCAACATATGGCACTTGTACCCAAAGCCACCTTTGGGCTTTGACAGCGTGACGCATGATTGGCCCGGCTGTCAAATAAAATCTGGGCAGTGGATCATGGTGACAAATTCAGGCAATGAGAAGCAGGCAGGAACAGACGGGTGAGGGGGTCGGACTGAGAACATGACAAAATATGGAGGAAAAAGGCGGATTTGGATGAATTTCAAACCATGGCTTATAAATCCCAGAAGGGGGTTGTTGTGAGGGTCAAAGAGGATCATGGTAGGTCAGATAAAATTCATTCATCTGTCGACTACAATTGTTGTTCTTTTATAATTAATAACTGTATCTCTAAAAGGAGAAATACACTGCCTTACAAATGAAACAAAGCAGGTTGTCGAGGCAAACAAATGAATAAGATCCCATTCATCAGATAAAATCATTATAAAAAAGTAGCTATAACAAAGCCAACCTTGAAAACAAAACCAGATGATGAAGAGAGTTTGAAAGCACTGATTGTATAAAACCTGGACAGAGTCTCAGTTATGTCATCCACTGGTTTCTGTAGGTTGGTTGGGTGGGGTGGGGGCTGGTTATGGAGTTTGATAATAGGTATACTGGGCTCAACTCACCTTGGATCAGTCTAGCCAGATGGGTGAAGCTGAGGTACATCTTAAGCCTCCTGTCAAACAGCTACCAAGCAACACCTGTCCGTTAACTTGCCAGGCCCTAATCATAATAATTTGTGGATAGCTTTAGCCTTGATGTTATCAAAATAGATGGATTATTTTCAATTTACTCCTCATAAGGAACCAGCCTTAAGTGGAAACAGCAAAAAAGTCAAAGTTGATTGTAGATAATTGTCTGATTTGGTTGGAAAGTTGGAGCAGGAGCAAGTTTGTTATTGTGTTGCATAAGTTTTTCTCTTAACGATTTTGAAGAGACCAGTTTCTACTGGTATAACCACGCACTGCACTAAATATTTTCAATGGTTGTCAAGTGGGCAGGCCAATTTAGCACCCATACTCTTCTACCACTCCATCCAGTTTATTTATTGTTTATTCCCCCCAGGTGTGGTTTTTTTTTAAACTTTTTTTTTTCTAACATTTTTCAATTTCTATGTTTGATATATTGTCTTTGCACCATTTTCAGTCCGATGTATGTTTTAGGTGATTTTTAAACCATCAAAAAAAAAATTTTCTCCAAAATTTTACATAGCATTCTTTTTTTTGGAATTGGGGTGTCTCTTAAAAAATGTAGAAAGCAACTTAATGACTACTTGTGAGTCCAAGCCTGGCACATGAGTTTTTTCATTAATAAATAGCTCCAACCCTTCTTGTTAATAGCCTCTGTTACAAAAGAGCGAAAGAAAGTTAAAGATTTCTTCCAACTGTGAGTCACTTCTTGGACACACTCTGATATTTTGGCCATATCAAAACTTTTGGTTACCCCTGCTGGGGGGGCTGTAAAAAGGCCTCAGTGTAGTAAACAGGGAAGCTTATGTAAGGGGGTCAGGGGTCGTGAAAATAATGACCACCTATGACCAGGTAGTTAAAGGAAAGTGCTCTGTCACACACACACACACACACACACACACACACACACACACACACACATATGTTCTAGTTAGAGCAAAGCCAATGTTTCTAAAAATGTCTGCCAAGAACTTTTTTTCTGGGATCAGTTGAATCACTACCCATTAGAGAAAAAATAAAGTTGAAACTAAAAATTGGAGCATATTCGAAATATATGACCGTCCACATATTTTCCTTGTTAAACTTTGCTGAAATTTTACAACTGTAGGCCCTTTATGTGGGACTTCAACAGCATAAAGGGGCTATTTAACTTAAAAGAAAAAGCTGAATTTCACTGCCAGAAATGACTGGCACAAAATTGTTTTTGTAAACAGTAAAAATAACAGAATCAAGGATGGAACCTTGTGGAAGACAATTTGTGATTTGAAAAGATTTTGACTTTACAGTTCTGAGAGCTACACACTGCTGTCTGTCCATGTGATAACTCCTTTGAGCCAATGTTTTTAGGGTTTTTAAAAGCATATCATGATTAGCAGGGTCAAAAGTTTAAGAAAGGTCTTCGATTATTTTTGGCTTGTTTGTCTTATTTCATTGATGACCTTGGGCTGCATCATTTTATCACAGGGTATTACAGAATTAAACTTGTAATTTATCATTTTCAGTGTATTTTCATGGTATTTCGTATCACTTCTTACTGTGGCCAGTAGTCTCCCTGTTGTCCCTGTTTATAGAAAGTCTTTCTCCCCTGTAGGTATTGTGTCTCCATGTGTTCTGAGGTTTTACAGTAAAAGAGGTGGGCTTTGGGTCATTGACGGTATGGCCTGTTATGTAACTCTGTATGTGAATTTGCTTATACATGTGCAGGAGTGTGACCGACACACATCAAAAGGTTTAGCCAGCGAGGGTTATGATGGTTTTTGTGGTACAAATCACTCACTGACTGAGCAGAGCAGTGACTGAGTATCTCTCTCTTTGCTATGCCTTTTTTTTGAAGTCTCCAAAGTGACTTACATCAGCCATATTTCTTACAGAAAACCCTGCAGGTTTCCTCTGGAGATGTTGCTGATATGCACAAACACAGCAAAAGCACGACCACAGACTCTAAATCATGGGCGTAGTCAGAGTTGCACCCACCGGTTTGTCAACTGCAGATCTGAAGCCTCGAGTTTGACATTTTCTCTGCAGTCATTTTCTTTTTTTAAGCTTGCTAATAGACCTTATGCTGTGTTCAAGTTACCTCAGAAGTCAAATGTCCAAGCTGGGAATGACATCATACAGGAGTTACCAGCGTTTCAGTTACCTAGTTGAAAAAAAGCAAAATCAGAGGCGGAAACAAGATGGTTACATCTACGAAAGTTATTTTAGTGCTTGCCTTGTCCGAATATAAGCAGCTTCTGAACAAATATGCGTTCCTTCTGCAACATGTTGTTTCCGCCACCGATTTTGATTTTTTCCGATTTAATGACTGAAACGCTGGTAACTCTGGTGTGACATCAGTCCTAGCTTGGACATCTGACTTAAGAGGTAACTCGAACGCAGCATTTGTGCTGCAGAAGACATTTTCTTGCAATGTCACACTAAAACGAGACTTTTCTGGAGGCTAAAATATTGTTATAATCTCTCTCTGTATCCCAGACAGTAGGTTCTATAAACCCCTGTAATCATACAAATCACAGCTCTCCGGGTGATAAGCAACCACAAAGCCGACAGATGGTGAAAATCAGGAGAGAGATGTGGCCATGTGAGGAGTATTTTGACATCTATGAAACAGACTGAAATAAATATTGATTCCTTTGAATAACATTCAAAACTG